TGTAAACCTTTTCATTTCATCAGCGCTTTATAAAAAAACGTATGCTATAACATGCAACATTCACAATAGTGCAGAACAAATGCAGGACAGTTATCCAATACTTGAGACCAATTGTTTGATGCACAAGTACCGTAAATGTTACATTTATCATGTAAAATTAGCATTACAAGCGTGTGAAACTGTTTAATAGTAATAGATGATTATACGTTTATCAAGTAGTTTGCGTCGTAAAGTCTTAGTTTACGTAAGGGAAAGCCAATTAACTGTCGAATTATGGCAAGTTTCATTCATAGATCGCCAATTGGTGAACTCACCAAAGTATGTTTTCATCGACATAACACTGGGCTTTATCTAATCCAGTCGTACTTGATTTTTTACAACTTCAATAACAATATACTTATAACTTTTTAATCAATCCAAAACAACATTACAATTAAATTTCATATGTCCAGGTACCGTAAATTTAATTCGATACTTTCAAAATACTGTAATTACTAAAATTAAATAGTGTGTTTGTTGTCACAATAATTTTTGCTTTTATTCAGTCTCTTACTTCCATCTAATACTGTGCTCAATGTGCCATTAGGATCTTTGTCGATAATTCGAGAACGTAATTAATTTCTTCGCTACTAACAGTTAATCGAAATGGAAACAAAAACTTTTGCGCTGTGCTTAATATGACGGTAATGAGCAGTAGTGTCAATTTTGCAATAATCAATTATTGTTTTTTTTTATTTTAAATGCTCGTCTACTAATTTTCTCTGTCGTTCTTATTAAATGCTCTTTGTAATTTTTCGGTAAATTTTGCGCGCCACGTCCTTGCGAGCGTTATGGATCCCAATAAAATTGCGATAGACAATTGGTTGTAACTAGTACTAGATTCGGTAAAATGTAAGCGATCAAATAGTGCATTGACATTCACCAGGACTGGTAATCCACGTATTTTAGCATAATTCTCAAGAATATTGTAGGTCAACAGTTATGTTGGTTTTTCATCGCCGCGCTTTTTTTACATTATTATGAACACACGATATTATATTATTCGTTTCTGACGTTTTCGAAGTAAATGTGACCAATTCTTAACATGCCGAGATACGTTTCTGACAAAGTACTGTATTGAGTAATAAGACGTGCGCTTATTACTACGTGTTTTTAAGGCGTCGGTGACAGTGCTTCTTTACTACTATATCTTGCTGAATCTAGAGAGAGCTTGAAACGCCTCACGCAATTCAGCAAATTTTTCTCTAAAATTTATTTTTGAACAACCCAAGAAACGCATTGCTTTTCGTATTCAGTCGAACCATTATAACTATTATTTTCCATATACGGGTAATTCTGTATATAATTTTAGTTCTTTTTCATCACTATGCATGGTTTGTGTATGTTTTAAATGAATAAATATGCATACTTTGTCATCCAGTAGAAAACCCCGATGCATGTTAAGTACTAATACCATAAATATTATATTTCCATACCACCAGACGTTGCCATGAGCATGATAAATTTGATTAGATTACCTGCAAAAGGATAAGTCGGCTATCGAAAAAAATAAACTGAATTAATTAAACTATTCCCATTTCTTAGTATTGGGTCAGAACGACAATAACACAAAATTTATGTACATACAGTATTTTAAGCAAAGAATTCATTGAAACTCTTTTGCAATCCTAACCTTAACCCAAACCGTTACTGACAGCGAAATTTAGCTGGTACTCACGTTGTAGTTGTAGTAAGTTGTATTTCAAAGTATATAAGGGGACATTAGTATTAGTGGCGTGCTAACAAAAATTTCGCTTCCGTCTTGCTATACTTGCCACCCATCTCTCGAAAACGGTTTACCAAAAAAAACAGTTAATACTAATTTGTTTTACTGAGAAGTATAATATTAATTCTTGCTTTGAATTTGTTTAAAACTAATCAAATAGTAAGTATTGTGGTAAAAAATAATAATCATTCAGTATTCCCTCCCCAAGAGACATTTAAAATAATGGTAAAGAGAGCCCAAAAAGCGCGCCGTGACAAACAAAGTGGTAAATAGTTAAAAAAGTTTTAATGAATAGAACTTGTCAGAGTTTTGTTTCCGCTCAGTTGACTCGAAAAAACTGATCAGTTAGACCACTATTAACGACGCTTTGCGTGAGTGTTTGTTGCTCGACGACAAAATGACCGTTTCAAGTTCCAGCTCAAAGACATGTCTAGTACTAAAAGAGAAAAAGTCGCACGATTCCGGCTCGTTCTTCGAAACACGAAGCACAGCCCAACGAACAAACCAGTGTTCAACCGTGAGGGAATTCCGAGAAAATGATTGGAATGAAAACCACCTGTATCAGATTCACTTTCCAGGGATGTCTGACGTTCAGCCGCTTGTTCCACTTCAAGTAGATATTACTTGCTTGTGTATACCTTAGGAAAATTTTATTGCTTGCTATTATAATGTTTTTCCGTGTGTTTGTAGGAGTCCGAAAGCTCACCTTTTGCTGTTCCATCAACGAGATCAAGCAGTGGCACAATAATGAAGTTATCCAATCTTTGCGAGGCATTTATCCTGATATCAGCAAATGTATTAGTATCCAAAAACTCAAAGGTATGTAACTGTTTGAGAGATTGCACTGTTTGTATGATTTCATGATGCAGCATTGGACAGAATAAGCATAGCAAACATGCAAATTATATGCATCCATTTTGCCATAATTTGATTCTTAGCTGCTTGCATGTCATTTACATCTTCCTTTTAAGATATCATAATCCAGCATCCCCATGTTGGGTTATTATAGCATCTATAATTGTGAAATTGAGGATGCAAATATCATGATTGCTTTTGAATATTTTCACATGTTTCTGACACATCCTTTCAATACCAGCTATTACTATTACTTATTATTATACTAAATCCTAACCCAAATCCAAAAGAGCAGCCTGGAAAATTGCCTTCAAAAAAATTTAATGTTCGTTTAATCCAATTTTATTTTAATCATCATACAACACTATGAACAACCAGTAAATAAATCAACTTGTTATGAGTAGAAACCATCTGAAAATTTATTTTAAAGACATAATGCTCGGGCTTGTCATTCTAGTTCTTTTTTCTTTTTCTCTTATATTGTGTAAGGACATAATAATAACACATAGCTCACTGAGAATAAGAAACAACAATTTATTGGGAAAGAGAAAACTTTTGAATAAAAGCTACTTCTTAAGTACCATAATAACTGCTATCCTTATCTTAAACATTAATTACTAATGTTAATATGAAGAAGTTACTATTCTGGAAAGTAGAACGTTCGCGCAATCGAATGAAACACAAACTCTGGGCAAACAAACCAGCTTAATCTTGTATAGTAATAGCTAATAGCATTATTATCCTAATACTAATTACTGTACGTCTTTTACGTCGATGATGTTCATACTAGTCCGCAATTTATACGCTAATTACCATGTAGTAAATTTGATGTCAACAAAAATCCATAGAATAATACTTGCCACATCAGTTCTTCTTTCATCTCATTGGCCGACAATATCAGATCTCAGAAATGCCCCTGCTCCACACACAACAAACATTGAGACAATGTCTAACGAGGTGCGTGTATTTTGTTCTATTCTGACCGTCATTTTTAAGGCGCATTATTAAATACACCGTGATATAGGCCGAAAACACGTCGTTTTTTCAGCGGGAAGCCTGGTATACCGATGCGAGAGGCAAGTCTGTGGGTTCATATATTACCACCACCATGCCTTTTCCACTGTATTATCCAACAACGCTATCTTTCTACTAAAATTACGCCGTATCTAACCTCAAGTCAATTCGACTACATCAATCGCCATAGACTATTGGACAGGCGTACCGGCAACAATAAACGGTATGCTGGGGGGTTACGGCTCAATAACTTCAACCGACACCAAGGCTTCATCGTTATTCATATCCGAATTTATCAAGGGGAAAAGAGGCGCAAACAATCATATCATCAAACCTCCTTGCATTTCGACTGCTTATGCATGTGACTGTGGAGCAGGAATCGGCCGCGTTTCCAAGCATTTCCTCTTAAAACATTTTGACAAAGTTGATCTCGTAGAATACACACCAAAATTCATAAAACAGGCCGAACAATCTTACTTGGCTAAAGAGGCACAAGAGGGGCGAGTTGGGAGGTTTATTTGTGAGGGTTTACAGACATTTACACCCGAAGAAGGAAAATATGATTTGATCTGGTGTCAGTGGGTACTGTCGCATCTAACTGATGAGGATTTATTGTCGTTTCTGGTGCGGTGCAAACAAGGTTTGAAAGCGAGTGGCATCATTGGGATAAAGGAGAACGTTACAGCGGTAGGCTATAATTTTGACAAGATGGACAGTAGTGTTACGAGGCGAGTAATTGTCTGACAACATATTTACCAGGAAAAAATTCATCGAATCGCGTCATAATCTTTACGCATCTTTTATTCCTCAGATCTAATGCGTTGTTTGAAGAAATTTTTCATAAAGCCGGTTTTCGAATTTTAAAAAATGAGAAGCAGCACGGATTCCCATCAGATTTATTTTCCGTGAGAATGTAAGTGTTGTTTTGTTGACTGATATATATATGACGTTTCGTTACTTAGCAAATGGTGTATATAATGCATCGCAGGTACGCTCTTGAACCAGAGCAGGTAACGGATTCTTTTGAATAAACATGTTGATAAAATTAGTGAAACTTGTTTCCAGTTATCGGTGATCGTCTATCTTGAACCGTTGATAATATTTATCGTGTTTTTGAATTTCAGTCAAGAATGAAAGATATTCTCGAGGCGCTACTTGGATGGGGGCCTTCGACTCTATTGTCCGCCCTCATGAAAATGAGAGTATGCTTTATAAGTTAGGGGTACTTAATATAGTTATATAAGGACAATAACACGTCACTGTTATTATGTACGAATTGTGTATAAATTTCGACAACATTCGTCGGCCATCAGAAACATTTCAAAAACCTCCAACTCTTTTCTGCATATATACTCCATGCTTGTATTTAATAATATATCGATCGCGTACGATGTGCCCTTATACGCAATTCGCTCTGATGTTCCTTTGCGTAATCCCATATGAAAAAATCAATAAGGATTGCGTTAACTGGTTGATAATCACCTTCTTGTACCTTGCTGACGAGCACGCGTCGAATAAGTTCGACGGCCCATATGGAGCAACCTATCAAAATTATATAATTAAGAAGTGGTTATACTCTGTTCAGTAAAATACAATCTATGAATCACCTACCGCGAATCTCAATCTCTAGTCGTGATCCGTTTGGTAAAATTGTTAGGGCGTCAAGTAAGGATATGAGATGAGAGGAATATGAGATAGCATTGATGCGATAGAGAGCCTTGAAATAAATCGGTGAGAATTACTTCATTTAGTTAAGCTTGCATCTCAATCAATTGTATAATATCTCACCTGTGGCACTCTTGAGTTTCAACAATAGAATTTGTAAGCTTTCTTTTGTTTTAACAATATTTGAGATTGCTGATAATAAATAACATACCTGTAGTCAGCAAACATTGTAATTTCATCGATATCGTGAAATTCACCGTAACTTTGTGATTCGAAACAGGCCCTATTAAACGATATGACAATATCAATATACGTATTCCTAAATTCTCAAAACATTTTATATCCTCGTACCATATGTCCGCAATTAATATCTGAGCTCGTTTATAGAACTTCACCGTCCGTCCTTTATATTCATTTTCGTCTCTAAATGAGGCGAAATTCTCTGTAATGATTTCTAACAGCTTCATGGCTGATTTGTTGGCTTCACGCACGCAATTGACGAATGTTCCACCAAACTTCTGTATGTTTTGGACGATAAAAGCCGTAAATCGCAAATCGCAATAAACATTTCTGACATAATATCATGCTTCACCTCAACAAGAACACGTCCAGCCTCTCTCATTAACATGATTCGTTGTTGCAATAAAGGAATTTGCTCTGTAGTGTCTGAACGAAAAATGTATTTAATCTGCTCGTCGGTCAGCTGCTCTTCCGAAGCATAGACTGATGCAGTAGTTATTGGAATCTTTTCTGCCAAGGCTATAATTATCGGGTTTGGTTAATAAATATCGAGAAATCTCAATGATTTGAAGACTTGCGTAGATACTTCAGATCTATTATTGGTCGAGTAATGGTAGTTGAAGACCGCAATATAATCGACAAGTCTCCCAAAAGTTGAGATTTGCCTAATGTTCTAGTACCCCCCTAAGTATGCAGGCCATTGAGACTTAAGCATAGATGAAGACATTTTGTATAGCTTGCCTCTATTTATAGCTGCACATAGTGACCAATACCCAGTGTATAGTTGACCATCGAATGAAACACTAAAACGATCAGGACAGTTGCCTGTATCATCTCGGTCGAGATCCGACCAAAACGAAAAGTTTAGGAGATCAACAAGAAATATCCTAATATCAATACAATTTTAGCAAATTTGCACTCGTATGTGATCGTAAATCACTCTGCAAACTTGCCAGTCGATCGCTTGTTCATTAGGTGTTTTCGGGTGCAATTGATGTTGCTTCCAAGTTGCCATTGAATAACTCTCTTTCTTCATATTCTCGTAAAGCTTCGTTTCACAAGGAACAAGTGAGAGTTAGAATATTAAAGCAAATCTTGAAGTTTAAAGGGTAAGGACTGAATCCTGCATATGTATCTCTACCGTGTTAGCAATATCTTTAATACTGTCTTCATTGATCACAACATCTTTACTGTTCTTGATTTAGCAAATAAATTGGCATTTTAGTCGTTCTTAAACACGATATTCAACCCTAATTCAGAAGACTAACTTCGGAAATAAATTTGGCGCTTTCAAGCACGGGATTGACAAAAGCTTCCATTATTCTTGTTATTAGATAAGTAATGTCAGATTTCTTATGCCGGGCGAGCATGTCATGTGATTGTTACTATACACATTGTGAACGATGACGTATTCCTTCGCATCTAGATGACAGATAGAAAGTTTTGGTATTAGTATTGTTTTAAGCTATATCTACTAACTCTTTTTTTCTCCCCTGGTGAGTTCGCGGGGTATTGGATCCCAATGACAGCGGAAGTGAAAACGAGTTCGAGAGATCCATTCGGTGATTACTTATCGGTGTATTCTGATTTTAATTGTAGCATAATATTAACAATATTAATTTTATATACTAATACTAATAGTGTTTTATTACAGTGTGATGTAAAAAATCAATGCCTACAAACCATTGCAATAAAAATTTTTATTAAAACAGCTCGATCGTTTAACTATCTTAAAGTTATTAAAAAAAAACGTAAATGTAAGAAAAATTGTGAGAACGAATACGGTATGTAACTGAAAACTGCTTTCTCCATTAGAACAGTTTGGCTGCAGCATTTGTAAGCTTATTATAGCCTTGATTTGGTAGAAATTTTGCATAAAATAAGATTCAATTTGCAATCAAATTTGGTTTTACTTTAATACCTTTATAAAAATTAATAATTCTAGTGTCAAGTCTCTACGAATCGATGGTAAGCTCGACTCTGTTTCCCACACATCCAACACGATAAGAGTAAATTCATCAGGGAATAAACAAAATAATTTTAAATTTTAACAGAATATAAAAACTATTCAAATTGCAAGAACAAATATTAAAATAAAGATATATGAAGATTCTTCCTAATTACTTAATACCTAAGCCGGCTTTGGGTTCAGGTGTCGGGTTCTTGGATAGTTTCAGAACAAGCGTCCATCATCACTGCTTTCCACAACCATTGCATACCCGCTTTGTAACACAAAGTAGTTTAACGTCCTTATAATTTTGACGTGATGATAAAGAACTGCTTGAGTGCATTTGTTGAGTTGATTACATTTCGCTAATTTGACACAATTGTTTGAGATCTACTGCACGTTCATGGTAATGTAAAAAAAAGGTACCGTGATGGAAAACCGAAACAACCTTCGATATAATCGTTGCTACTGCCGTGTCGAAAACTATGCGGAAATCACAGATTACCAAGCTCCCGTAGAAATGTCTTAAAATTGCTTATACCGAAACGAGTTACAAGTCAGTCTATCATGATTTTATTGCAGACCTCAAAATGATTGCACATTAAAATTGTTAAATTATGACGCATTCTGCAAGTTATGGTACTGCTGTATATTCAAATCATGAATCAAAAACCGGATTTATGTGATACATGCCAACGTTTCCCTTGTGAGAGTTTCTTTAAATAACGCTCAGCATAAATTTATATTCTCTTTCGCACGAGTAGCGTACGGGTACATAGAGTTCGTGTCATGGCTCACTCCTGGATTTATCATTTCTGTTTCGCAGCAATAGTGGAAGACTTAAATAAAATTTGAACTAATCAATAAGTCGACTTGTATTCTCCTGAATGGAGAATTTCGAGCAAAGACTAGCGTTTGTTGACGTTAATCAATCACGCAATAATACGTGATTAGACGTCTGTATGACATTAGTAATACGCACAACTTTCTATTATAAATGCTGTACTTATTGGAAATAAACAATTTCCTCCCTCTCTCTTCCTCGTAAACATTTCCCTTCGCTTCCCTTCAAATATACATCTG